GCTCGTATTGGTCCCACTTTGCTTAGAACCCTTCCTCCCCGTTACAAAATCCTCAAAAAGCTCAAAATATACATGCATGACCCCACGGGTCCTGCTGACCTCTCACCGGCTCCACGACCCCGCAACTGCCCCCTGTCGTTCACAGGGCGGCCGCGCTGCGCTGCTGATGGACGTGCGGCGCCCCATGTGGGTCGCCCGCGTGGCCGCGACGCCCAAGGGCTGGCAGCTGACGGGCAACAACAAGTCCCAGGGGCACTTTGACGCCGTGGTCATCGCCCACAACGGCAAGTGTGCCAACAGGTGCGGTTTCGGGGCCGACGGGCGGCGCTGAAGTTCAGGGGTCGCGACCGGAACGTCACGCTCGGCATGCGATGGATCGGCCGGGCTGGCTTTCGGCCTTTGGCCTTGGTCACGTGTCCGCAGGTTCAACAAGCCCTGGCCAGGCGCAAGCGCGCAAAGGACCAGCAAGTGGGCTGCGTCCTTTGCATGTAAACGCGCGCAGCACTCTGCGAATCAGGTCCACAACCCTTGGACCTGATGGCGCCCGCCCTCCTTCATTGGGTGCCCCCCAGGCTCGCTGCGCCGTCCGGCGCGCCGCTCGTGGCGCAGCAGCTGATGCGCCTGAAGCTCAACTCGATATGGGCCGTCATGGTGGCGCTGCAGGAGCCGCTGGAGGCGCCCAACGGGCTCGAGGGTGCGCAAGCCGGGCCCCCGCCGGGCTGGGCGCTGCACTGCTAGTTGCACTTGATCCAGCCTGCCAGGTCGGCGGTTTGACGGTTAAGCCCTTGGGGGCCCGAACAGCTTGCCAAGGAGCTCGACTCGCGAGCAGCGTGTGCAACTGTCGGTAAATCGATCCCTGCCCCCTGCCCACCGCCGTCCCCCAGGCGCCTTTGTGACCGGCCAGCCCGCCAAGCACCTGAGCTGGGTAGCTAACAACACGGCCAAGCTGGGGCTGCGGCACCCCGGGCACCCCGGGCTCCAGTGCTGGACGCTCCTCAGCACCGAAACTTACGGCCGGTGCGCAGGGCAGCTGCGTGCACAGCTGGAGCAGGCGGGCTCCTGCTGCACCATGCCTCGTGCCGCCCTTGCAACTCCAGTGCCGTGCCTGCAGACTCTCGGGCCTGTTCAAGCCCCCTTCAACCTGCACTGCACTTCTGTACCCCACATACGGCTCAATTCGACCTTTCAAACTCAAATTATAACCCCAGGGAAAACAAGGTGCCGCAGGAGGCTGTCCCCCAGGAGGTGGCAGAGCGCGTGCAGCGTGACATGCTCGCCGCGCTGATGTCAGCGCTCGGCCGGCCGACAGCCGAGCTGCCGAGGCCCGCCGCCTACAAGTGCGTATGCGTGCGTGTGTACGTGCATGCGTGCGTGCGTGCGTGCGTGCGTGCGTGCGTGCGTGGGCGCGTATGTGCGTGTGTGTGTATGTAAGAGAGAAGGAGAGAGAGAGTGTGTGTGTGTCCGCGCATGCGCACATGCAATGCACGTACTGACAAGTAGGGCCCTGCACACATGTGATTGTGTTTTTGGGGGGCAACGTGTGCACAACGTGCTGCCGGCTTTCCCCCTGTGCTGAAGTTTACTGCCTAGTTGTGCTTTTGGCGCTCGGATTTGTTGGTTGAGCACATCACCACCCTGCCTTTCTTCAGCCACAATGCTTCAGGAACACGCTGTGCTATTCTCAGTTATGCGCCCAGCCCTGAACGCCGATACCCCCCTCTGTGTGACGCGCGCAGATGCCAGCTGTGGGGTGCCGCCCTGCCCGTCAACTCCCCCGGCGTCCCCTGCATCCTCGACCCCGTCGCGCGCATGGGCGTCTGCGGCGACTGGCTGCACGACCCCGCGGCCGGCGGCGCGGCCGCGTCGATGCAGGCCGCTGCGCTCAGCGGCCTCGCGCTCGCAGAGCGGCTCGCGGCGCTGCGGGGAGCGGACGCGGAGGCGGCAGCCAAGCTGGCTGTCGGCCTGCACGAGCAGTTTGTGCCGCTGTCAAACCCAGACATTGGGGGGTTCCCCGGGGACAAGGCGGCAGGCACCCTGGCGGAGGCGCCGACGGGCGCCGCGCCGGGCGGCAGGGGCGGCGGGCGGCAGGGGCGCCGCCAGGGGAGCGGGTGTCGCGGCCGAGCCCCCCTGTTCTGGTGTAAGCCTGCTCGCCAGGTCGCTGGTCCGCTGCACCCTGTAGTGCCCGCTTGACTCCCGCTTGATCGGCTTTGGGGCACGGAGGCGACAGGGGCTGATGCATGGGGCGGGTGCGCCCGTTGATCTGCATCAGGGTTGGTCAGGCGCTTGGGTGGGTCAAGGGGGATGTGCCTGGATCCTCTCGGCGGCTTGACGCTTTTGTCACGAGTGGAAGCTGCTGCTGTACCGCTGGCCCAACTCGGTGGCCCTCATATCCCTGGCTCATTTGGGAAGCATTACTATGCTCACAGCGTGGGTGCCTAAACATTGCTGTGTGGCGGCAGCCACACCCTGCTGACGAGGCCCGTGCTTGCGGGCGCTTTTTGCACGAGATCCCACGCCTCGGCAGGCGGGGACAAGTTGCAGCACTAGGCGGTGGGACAACGGCGACGCTGATCACGAGCATCACGTGCTTGATTGTCGTCGCCACGTACACGGCCAGCACGCCTGTTCACGGGGCCAGGATCTCGCGTGATCGAGCACTGTCTCCCCAGCTCCTCACACTGATGGTTGCCATCAAAGAGTGTGGAACTACCTGGTGATTCGTTTTGAATCCCGCGCAGCATCAGGTTGTCGCCCTGCCCTGCCCCTGACGACGGCAAATACCGAAAGTGCCTTCGAAACAAGCCCCAGACTGCAGGACAACTCTTACAATCATACACTCAGCCTAGATATAGTCCGTTCACAGCGCTTCTCGGCCAGTGAGCGACGCAACGCACAGCTACGGGGTTGAACGCGCTCCGCCGCAGCCGCTGCGCGCGCGTGCCAGCGCGGACACAGCAGTGGTGTCAACGACGACGGCGGCGATGATGATGCAGCAGAGCCTCGCTCGCCAGGGCGCGCCAGCGCGCATGGTATCCAAACGCAGCACACGCCCTGCGCATTGCCCCGCCACCCGCCGCACGCTGGCCCGGATCACCGCCGCCGCAACCGCGGCGCCCGCCGCGCCCGCCGCCGCGGCGGCCCCCTCCCACGCCGCGCCCGGCGCCGGCCACAGCTCCCTCCTCCACGGCCTCGGCGACGCCGGCGCCGTCGCGCCGCAGCACATGCCGTGGCTGCTGCGCCTCGCGCACGTGCTCGGCGAGGCGTCGGGCCGCGACTCGGCGGCCGCCCTGTCAGAGTCCTCCCGCGGCCTGCAGGGCTGGCGGGAGTGCCTGAACCGCGGCCTGCTGCCAGACCTGGATTCGCTGGATCAGCTCTGCCGCGACGGGGAGCCGTTCACTATTGGCCACTCGGCCGAGGAGCTGCTGTGGCCGGCGGAGCCGCTGCGGGGGACGCTGCTGCGGGGGCTGGCGCGGCTGGGGGTGGCGCGGCTCGCGAAAAAGTACCCGGCGGTACAGGTGACTCACCCTTGCTTTTTTACATTGATCAATCTTGTTGTATGTATGTATCAGGGTTTGGAAGTGAATATATTGATCTGTGACATTGTGCTTGGGCAAGTTCAGCCGGTGGCAGAGAGCAGTAAGTTGCTTGGGTCATTTGTTTTGTATGTGTATGTGTGTGTATATGTGTGAGGGGGGCAAGGGGATGGGAAACTGACGCGTCTTGAGCTACAGGGGTGACGATACGCCCGGCGTTTGGGGGGAGGGGGGTTTCAACACAACGGCGTCGCGCATCGGGGAGCTGTCTTCCACAACTACCAACAGCTCTGCAGCACCTCTGCATGCCTTAGTGCAGAGCGCCGTCCCCGGTCCCTGCGACCCTGCATTGCCCCCTCCGCAGCTCAGCCCACAGCCCCTGACATCAACAGACACACACACGCACACACACTCCCTCTCTTTCTCAGCCAGACAGATAGACAGACAGACGTACACACATCACCCACCCGCACCATCCCCTCTGCATCTCTCTTCTCCCCCCCCCCTCACAAGGACGCGCTCCTGCGCTCTGTGCTGGAGGTGACCGTGGCCTTCCACAAGCAGCTGCTGGGCATCCAGGACGAGGAGGAGGCCGCGGAGGTCGACGAGTACGGCAATACATACAAGACGGCCGCCCAGCTCGCGGCGGAGGACGCCGCCGCCCGCACCGCGCGGTCGGGCGC